TACACCCTCTTTCCATACTGCTGTATCCAATTTTTTGTTTGAAATCAAAACCGTTGTTTTACACAATCAAGATATTAAACCAAATTCTACAGTAAACCAGCTGCTATAAATACAGCTATATTTGCTATACTGCATCAGATAAGTGAGGATGTAAAAACTCCTGATCGGGTCAATACTTTGTTTTTCTGGCAGGCACCAGTCTGAAGAAGTCATAATTCCAGTTCCGCTTGTCCAAAATCCCCTGCTATAATTGTCTGATTTTCTTCCCCTCCCTCTCTCTCAAAGTGCTTTAAATCAGACATAATCTCATCCATAAAGTGAACACTTATCTCCTCCTTCTTAAGAGCAGATTTTTCTTTCCAATTTGTCAGTCCCAGGAATGTCAATCTGGTGGGCAGCTTCACTGAAGGCCTACAAGATGCACACCGCCAGCTCATAATGCTCAGCTCAGGGCAAAGGTGTTCAAATTTGACACAACCACTTTTCTCCATCTCACCAGCACTAAAACACAGACAATTACCAAGTTATTGACTAATGCTTTTAGAAATAATTTTTTAAAAAATCACTTCTATTGTTAAAAAACAATTGCGTTAAAACTTTGGTTTCAGTATGCTGCCAATTTGGAGTCACATCTACAGTGACTTGAAGACAAAAAATATGTTTCTAATGTAAAAAGTCCAGTCATATTAAAAAGACCCCACCTTTCGAGTCTCTGTGCATCATAAGGAGCAATGAAGACAAACCTAATTCTTCTGCAGATCACCTTTAAAGTTACTGACAAAACCCAAGGGGGTTATTTTCACACCTGTATGCAGCCAGCTGTGTTCAGCATTATAAAACATCACGCGTTGGATCACAAAGTGCTTATTAGATCAGCAGATCCATAAATGATGAACTCAGGTAAGTTTCACTACCCGAAATGAGGATATTGAGGAGCTTTCTGTTTGTAACGTTTCTGCATCATTGAAATGCACAGAAGAAAGGCTATGAACAGCACAGTTACCTCGCATCAATGTTGCGACTGTACATCATAAGGAACAACGCTC